ACTGTGAACTTATCATTACCATGAACAATTTGCCGACTTTCTTTTTGCTGTACCTGCTGCTACCGCAAACATGTCCATTTTTCTCAGACCTTCGTCTACCCTGAAGAAAAAGTGATTTACAGTAAGCAATCTTGTGGTGAGTTTGAGAGCTATCCCAGACGCTACAGGCCAGCGGTCCTGGGTTAGATTAGAGGGTCTACTTGCGCTGGTATTTCCGTCCTGAAACAGACCTGGTCACCCCAGGGCGCGTACGCTGACCCGAACGCCCTCCGACATCAAACATGGAAGGCAGATATCATCACCACATCTTCTTTTTTTTATATCCTAAACAGTACAAGAGTTTCATGATATGGTAGTACAGATTGTATACAGGAATTAGCAGATCTCTTGCAAATAAAAGACTCAGGTTATAAGGTGTTAGAATTGTTAGATGTCTCATGACAAAAAGAATCCAATAAAATGTGAAGTGATAAAGGTAATGTTGGTTCCATGCCTGAAGCCATTAACACATTTCCCCCTGGATCTATAGGGATAAAATGTGGATTTATGCTTACAGTCTATGGTCCACAAATTGAATGGTTTTATTCCCTCTTGGGTACATGGAAGTATCAAAACCATCCCTATTTATTCAAATAATGTTGTACATCATGAAAACTAGCAGTATCTTGCATCATGGTAATGCAAAGGATGGTGTGATTTCATTATTTACCATTCAAACGAAGTAGCGTACTTATGTTCTTCTTGCAGTTTTAAGCTTTTAACAAACATTTTTCTGTTAGTTTAATTCCTTCAAATATCAGTTGTATGATCAGCTGCAGTTCAGCAACAGTAATTTAAAACCCCAATGGTATGAAAGGTGCTCACAAGGCAGAACAGGCCAAGTACTTTTCTGTGTCACTGCTTTTCTAGGTCCCACCAAAAATGGTACTACTGGTAGTAGTCTGGTCAAGGCAACTTGAGAATACAGAAAAAAAAGGAACAATGTTTGTGTCTGCATACTTGTCACCAACTTTACTGGACATAACCAACATGTCAGTGGCTGCCTCCTTCCTTTGAAAAGTATCAAACTAGCGACGTAACACAAATACTTTCGGTAGGTGATACAGCGGTATCCTCTTTGTGAATGTACACAACACACAAAGGAATGGAATAACTTGCCAATCATGGCATAAGGACCTCCTTATAGATGGAGCAAAGATCAAAATTGGAGAGAGAAAGTGGCACTGGTAGTTTTGGGAATGAACAGAATTGCGACCATGGAAGACCAAAACAAAGTGCTTTTCCTGTGACAACAAAAGCTTAGTTTGAGGTCACATGACCCATTGCTTGTCGACATTGCTCAGCTAACTGCTAGGGAAATGCTGAACATGTATGTACAAGGAAATGAACACAGCTGCAACCTTTTCTCTTTGTGGACGTTTGTGGGGTTTGATTCACCTTTGATCTTTTTTTTGACAATACAGTGGGTTCACTGTAAACCAATTATGAGCCTCTAGATTCGAAGCTTTTCTCCAAATATAACCAACGTTCTTGCAAACTGAGTCCACCTTGAGACCCTAATCCATTTTCAAGCTCAACGTACATTCTTGACATTTCCTAGAAAGTAAATGCACTAGGTTTTAGTGGGGGGGAGGGGGGCTACTTTGTGGGTGGGACTCAGCTGGAATAACACAAGTGCAGCATCAGTCATATACGAATGAGTAGAAAACTATGAGAGGTATGCAAATTCATGATAGCGTTGATAATATAATGCTGATATCTGGGATAGTACTCTGGTCTAGACGCCCCAAGCCATACCATATATAAGCTTTGACGTATGTCTGCGCTCTAGACAATTTTGCTTGAGGGTTGACTTGCTTCCACTTGTCTTCATGTTCATTACCTAGTATATCTACATGTACTGGGGTGAGTATTTCTTTCATGCCCTGAAGTCATGCTTGGCTCTTTGAACCTCATTAACTTTTACCCACCCACAAATTCTGGAACACACCCATAGATACAAACATGTACATGCTACTAGCTAGCATGTTGTTCCTAGTGCTGTGTACCTAAACCCACATGAAGGTTCAGGTCTGGATTCAAGTCCAGAGGTTTAGGTTCAGTTTCGGACCTAAACCCATGGCATATATACACAATTGCATGTTGGCAACCTTGCAAAACTTTGGCCACATAACATGGAGGCTGACACTTGATGATGTCCGATGGAAATATTTTCTTCATTTTGCAGCACAGATTTTGCAATCTACGGAAGGTTTTAGGTGGTTTGGAAAGAAAAGAGGTATGTGAAATGTTTTTTTGTAACAAGTCTGCAATCGGTTCTTGACTTTTAGTTTTTTTTTTACTTGAACCTAAACATTTTTACAACAATACAAGTCCAGAACCGGTCCAGCGAACTTGTATACAGCACTAGTTGTTCCTCGGTTTGGCATAAAAGAGAACATACTTGGTGTCTTTCCAGCAAAACTGGTCAAAGGCTCAAGGTACTAGTACTGCTAGTCTAATAAATCAACTAGGAACATCTAGTTTGGTTCAAATAAAGTTCAATGTTGTGGTGCATGTATAAGAGAGGGGAGTGGCAGATCATGTGGTGTTGTATATGTGAGAGAGAGAGCAAAACAAAACAAATAAGATACTGAATATTCTTTCTTCAGCAAAAGTAGGGCAAATGTGTCTGTTTTGTATGTACCACATTTCTGCATCTGATACAAAATGGTTTATTCAATATTTGCTAGAGCTGCCCAATGTTTCAAAAAGAGCAGGAGAACCTGTATCCAATAAATACCAGGCATTTAGTACTGGGTTCAGAGTTCTACTAAACAAATATTGTTGTCTGTAAAAGTTTATACAAGCCTGCTTGTATAAAAGTGTAGCTCCATAAAAAGACACACAGCTTTAAATTATTTCACCCACCTGATATAGTTTTGTGTAAGAAAATTCTCCTTTCATCAAGACTTCAAAATATACAAGTGCTGTTGGTAATTTTTATGGATGTCCCTAATATAAACTGTACTACCATGTGATGGCTGTCCTGTGTATTGACAGAGACAGGTTTGTTTACGTTTCTTGATAAACAGCCAGCCTGGAGAGGAAACAACCCATCCCGGGGTCACTTTAGGTGCATTTTGATTTTCCATTGCAACAATTTCTGAAGTTTCTTTCTATTTTCATGAAATGCATTTCATAGAATCATACCAACCTTCTTCAAGGTTATTACTGCTTTTGAAGAATTGTAAGAAAATGGAAATCCAAATACCAGTATTCAAGATCACATGCATTTTTGTGTTCATTTTGATGGTAACAGACCCGACAGACTGGGTCTCCTTTGGGACTCATTTCAATGCAGCTGGAATCATTAGTGATAAATGGGAGGTTAGGGTTTCAAATGCATCAGTCTATCAAGTTGTCTGTCATACAGCAGGGCTAGAAAATGTTGCAACTTGCTGCAAGAAATGCTATCAGGGCTAACAGTACACTGTGGTTTCCATAAATGTAGTCCTATCCTTCAACTTGAAATCTAATGCGAAATTCTATTTTGTTTCATACATAGGCTTCAATTTTCTATGATGTATGTACTGTGCTATTGAAATTTGTAAAATTTTGGAATCATTTTGGGACAGGGTGTTGTAAGGGTTTATCTGTAGTAACGTATAATGCATTACCGACATGTTAAATTGGTAATGCTTGGCTTAACTGTTCAAGTTTTCCACAGAGGGTGTAGGAAAATTACCCAAACCAAGCTGGCATTGACTAGGCACTGAGAAAACCCATTTCCAATTGCCGACCCCTTTTCCAGACAGTACAGTGTGGGAAAAAGAACTCCCAAACCCTCCCCAAAAGGTAGCCCCACATGGAGAAAGAAGCACTTTTGCTAATTGTTTTCTTTCTTTCAACACAATAGTATCAACATGACAATACAGAAAACCACATGATTTGGTTCACGATGACTCTGGTGATATGTACATTAGAAATCTCAATGCGAACAGAGGACATTATAGCTTTTTCCAAGCAGATGTAGGGTTCAGCTCGGAGATTACAGGGGTCAGACACAGTCCTGTATTTGAAATTGATCGTAGTCCACTCTTGAACCCTCAAATCTCAAAGCGAAAATCTCAGTATTTTCTGTCAACTTCTCGTATTTCCTTGTGCAAAATTATTTGCAGGTGTTGAACCAAAGGAGGGTTAGGCTGTCACAAAATATGGTTTACCAATATACCCCAGTGTGCCTTTCAAAATGGGGTCACACCTCTAACCATTGGTAGGAATTTGACAGCAGCTTGTTGATACAGAGGCCTGTGGAAGTGGGGAATGTCACGGTATGTACTGTCCGCCGATACAAAATGTAGTCTACAACTACAAGATAGTATACCCTTACGCTAACAGGGATGGCTTGAATTCTGTGTACTACTTGCGAGTCAATTTGTAGGGTGAAAACACCCACGCCTCTGAGTATGGTTGTCTGAATTGAGTCATGTTATTAGTCATATATGCATTAGGGAATTCATAATAGTGTCTCCAAACATCAAAACACATAAACCTTTCTACACGTGTCTTAATAATAACCCTAAGGAGTCAAGGAACCATGTTAAGTTTCTTCCAAGTAATTAAATCTAAAGGCACCAGCGGCGTTTTTACTATGAAAATGAACTGTACACAAAGCAACGTCCCACCCCTTGACAAATGAATAAGAGTGACTGATGTCATTCAAAAGGTGGGGGGTACGATGTTGGTCATTTCGCACGTACCACTTCTGTGTTGTTGCCCTGTTTTCCTCGTGGGTAACTCGTTTATTGAAAGCATTTGGGGTTGTAAAAAATACCCAGGGGTTAGATGTGTGATCGTAGTCAGCTGGTGTGAAAGTTGCAGGTCCCGCGCGCCGGCCTGCTGTGTAGATTTCATCAACAACCAACGTTTGTATCAGCTTTCAAACCGTTACACAAGTTGATCAGTTGTCTCTAGCTTTCTGGTGTACATACAGATGATTTTGAACAGATCATACTCACCGGTAGCTCGATCGTGATGTCCGTATCGTCCAGCAGAATCACCTTGCATGTTATTGTCTTCTCCTTCTTGCCGGCGACCTGAGCCTCCCCATGCGCTGGCCGGTCCTTTCGCCTCCGAAAGGTCTGTCGCAGGAACCGCAGCATTTTTACCCCGTCCTCCCGCGGAATTATGCGCGCGATCGCTTCCCCTCGTCCGGTAAGTGGGCTACAATACTGCCATGCAGTCGGAAGTAATCCTGGGCGTCGGGAAACCCGCGATCGGGAGGCGTACGACTTGTCGGGAGAAGGTTTTCTTGGGGTTGAAGTAGCAGACAAACGCGGTTCACCTCGGAGATGTGAGAGCTACACCCAACTGAACCCGGGCTGTGACAATTTCAACCCGTGCGCACAACGGATGCGCAGTGAAAAGTAAATACCATAACCGCACACAAACGTCAAAAGTATCCATTTATCCACAATTCGGCACAGCTTTCTGATAAAATATCACAAATTTTTCACTACAAGTAAATGATTCGCTATTTTGTTGTAAACTGCATTGGAAAATATTCGTATCTAGTCACGATAAAAGAATAATTACATATCATGGTATTTCAATATATCTGTTGCAGTGCGAGTTGTGCTCACTCACATAATAGGGGTGATTGGTTAACATAATTTAATTAATAAATGGAGTTACAGTAGACTGTATTAATTAAATACATATTAAACTGGCCATTTTTAAATTAAAAAAATCATTACCTTTAGTCTTTATTTCATATCCTATAAGTACATAGTCTGTTGGTCTTTTTTTTATTGTTCATGTCTTCCTTATATCCCTATTTCTTCATAAGTTGGTATGGCCCCATACGTCACGGGGAAGCCGTCTGGAGGAATTCCCTAGTACTGAGTACAGGAAAAGCGCGTCAGACGGGTGCGTGCCTTTGTGCTTCTGTCATTATTTGCGGTAACGCGTGCGTACGGGAGATAATGAGTGTTTTGACACCACAAGCGGCGTTACCGTGATTCGTATCCTGTTAATTGTTTGACGGGTCTTCCTTGAGTGTATACCTATTACTTTGCGGGGGTGGGAGGGGGGCAGACATGTCTAGTCAGAGGCTCCAAACTTCTCCTTGGTGTGTCTTGGGGTTGTCTTTGGTAATTTGGCTGTCACTGTTGCCACCACGATCGCAAAGTCAACTATACATCAAATGCTACCGTGTGATCACGATCCATATGAGTGATTTCTAAGGAACTGGGCGAAGTCTTCAATATTTGCAGGACATAATTACAGAACAAGAAAGTATTGTGTAACGTTAGCATGTTTGGGTTCAGTCAAAATATGACAACACTGATCTGTTGTGAAAAGTCGAGGAAGTACGTGAGAAACTTTATATCAACCATCCTGCATATCTGATGTACCCTGGGAGTTGAATGTGGGAGTCTAGATCTGATATACTAGTATATTATCAGTGATAAGCTTTTCCCTACCAAAGGAAATAAACCAAGATTAGATATAGGCAGGTTGGATTTCATTGAAATCTAGAGATATCCTTCCTGGCTTTATTGAACATACTTGTAATGGGGGAAACTGTAATTACAGACAAATGAATACATACAACATGACACACAGGAAAATATATCTTTTCAAATACATGTACATTTTATTGGCAAAATTACGTGCATGTACACCAAACTGCAGGTTCATTCATTGAAGGTGCTCACAATTCTCTCTTTCTTTACCCCAAAAGTTGAAAAGAAACAGGCTCAACTGTTGTGAGGGTGACAGGACACAGTAGTTGGCTGTACATGTACACCAGAGGAGCCTAGGCATACACACATACTGTAATTCATAATTTTTTCATGGTACTTTTATGTTTGTGATTTTCACAGTCATTCATGTACCGTCAACTTATCATTAATGTTAACAAATGATTCGCAGACTTTCTTTTTTCTGCACCTCCTGCCACCATGAACATATAGTTCCGTGAATACCAAAATTTTCCTCAGACTGTGAACTTTTGCTACTGTGAACATTAGATGAATTACGGTAGCCTGCTGGTGTATGTACAATACAAACATCACTGGCATCATGTTTTCCTAATCCTTAACATTGTACTGTCTGTGAGACAGAAACAGACATTACCTCATCCACTCTCACACTCTGTACAGTTCTCTGTTTATTTCTTTCCCTTTCAATTTGGAACTTGATGTTGTCTTGACAAAGGTCCAGAGACAAATATCAGAGACTCAAACCTGCACCTGTATTGAGTGACTGATCACAATGCACACTCTCACTTCTGTGTTACAGATGTTTCCTTTGTTACACAAGACTTCCGTTCCGACTTGCCTGGTTTTTCTTCTGACATAATAGCCTCTATGTCTCAGATTGTAACTTAAGTCAGGTGTGTCTTGGTTGATTGACCTTGAACAGTACATAGCGTTCTGTTGTTTGTCTTAAGGGCATGAAGTCAACAATTACTGACCTTAAGGTCATGATGATTACCTACCCTGGAATAGTAATACTTTTGTCCTGCCCTAAAAAGATTTTTTAAAATTTGCTTTTTTCTTTAACTAATAGTGAAAGAAAAGAATAAACTGAACTGATGTGTTTCCCAATATGGCTATGAATTATTTTTTGATGTTGAATTCTAGAAAGAGCTATTTAACAAGGCACATGTAACTTTCTCTTTTTCTGTGGTAAGCAATTTCAAGAATAATCTTCTTAGGGAAAGATTTGTTATCTTGAGGAGGATACTGTGTCTTAACACCTTCCAGGTGTGAGTAAGTGATGTCTACTGTTCCATTTCCTGAGTGTTACCTGAGAAGGTGTGAGTCACAACAGTCCCCAGGGCAAACCTGGGTAAACACAGATGTATCCTGTAGAACTACATGGGACGTATATACATCAGGCCACACCAATTTAATCAATTAGTTATTGGATTCGACCTCTTCATTTTTTTTTTAAATTAAAGAAACTCCTTGTCTCCTTACTAAAGTTGTTACAGGTTTTCCATCTATCAATGTAGTGGTTTGATTAAAAGTTCATAAGAATCTTTAAACAAGCCTGGCATGTTGACATTTGGCCAATTTCTACTCTTTCCTGCCACTTCTGAAGCCTGGTAGGCTGCATGATATCTTCCTGGCATGAAACACTACTAAGCAATGATTGACATTTACATTCTGTGTTCTTTCTCATCTGCAGGTATCAAGATGGCATCTAGGCTGCAACTCCTGCAACATTTCGTGACCAAGTATCGGCACGTACTACTCGGTGCTTCTGCCGTGGGGGTGTTTGCCTTGAAACTGGCTCCACACATCGCACCCCAATGGTACTACCCAACAGTCTACCAGCTGTGGGACCAAGATGGACCGGTCCAACTCCCACGGCATCATGGGAACCTTTTCCAGGAGGTTGCTGGGAAGTTTGGACTGAAGGATGCTGGGAGATTCAAGGTTTTCCCTCAGTACGGATTCTACGATCCGTTCAGTGCAGGTTTGTCATGGCTGCCAGGTGGTGCTATTTTGGGCGTACCCAGTTATTTCCTGAACGCCACCTCAGAGGATGTCCAGAACAAGCAAATCACAGTTTCTGGAAAGCTGCTGGATTTCGCGTCAGACGAAGGAAAGCAATTCTGCAACTCTCTCGTCTTCAGTGACTCTGCACTAAAGTTTGCAATAGGAAGAGAACTTGCTCTTGTCAAGAGTAACGCTGCCCTGTACCAAGCTACCCTTCCACCAGTCTGTCTTGCAGGAACGTACGCAGGTATTCTGTACACAAAACAACTCCTTGGCCTGTTCCAGATCCCCTTCCGTTTCAGGGTTGTGCTGAATCTCTTAGGTGGGACGATAGGGTTGGCAGTATACCACCTACTCTCAGACACAATGGAGCACTACTTCGACCACAAGGCAGACAAGATGTGTGCCAAACTGGGCAGCGAGTACGCACAGGGAGGGATAGAGTTTTACGACAAATTGCTAGTGAGGAATCAAGCTTTAAGGGTGCTGCTGGGTAGGGAAGGCCAGAAGTTGTACACACCGTATGGGAACGTTCAACCCAAGAGCATGTTCCACATGAAACACCCACAGCTCACAGAAAGGAGGAGAAGGGTGGCAGAAATATATTACTTTGATTTTGCATAGAAATTGGTTGATGATGATGACGGTTGATTCTTGTGCTGTCAGCATTCATTTGACACATGTTGACCACATGTACTGCTGAGGCCTAGGAAAATTACTGTCTAAAGGACCACCTATTGGACAACCTGTGGACAAACATTTCACCTGATCTACTGAAGAAGAAATTGCTTTCTGACTCAGATAAAAAATCTATAGCCTTACCAGTGGTCGTATGTTGTTGTATGTTCCTGATAAAAGTTGATGGATTAGCTCTGGAAAAGTGAAATAATTGCAAAATTAAACAGTTGAACCCAGAAGTTTGTATTGCAGTTATTGTTTCATATTTTGTCCCACTGTAGTGAAGTTGCGAAGGCAATAATGACTTTAATAAGAGTGACCTTCCATAGGTGACTTAATGGAGTAGTTAACAAAGTTCACATAATCTTTCTATTACACCTTCGCTATAACTACAGAAGACAGACACTTTCACAACCGCACTCCTCTCGTGTTTCAATGGCTGTGTTTCTGCCTACTAAGTATACACAGCTACCTTTATAATAATCTTATTTTCACTCTTTCCGTATCTTCAAGTTCATCCACCAAATTTTAAGAGGCATCCAATGCAACTTCAGGGAGTAAACAAAAATATTCTGCCATTTCTTAGCACATATTTGTCATCATTTGAATACTTAAAGCATTTGAAATAGCCCCAAACCAAGCCGTAAGGTGTCTCTTATTTCTTGGGTACCACCCATAAATAGCTAGAGCCAGCTAAAGGAGCGACATTGTATACTTGTCTCAAAAATATTAGTATGCTATGGAATATGGTTTCTTCAACTTAACAGTAAATGGACTTTGAAAATCCAGTTTTATTGCCTTGAAATTGCACTGGATGCCCATAATGGACTGTAGCTAACAGTGACATGGTGAAACTGAAGCGCCGACTAGTGATAGATGAAGGTACTGCAACTACTGACCTCATCCAAGTAGAAACGGAGTTGCACCTGACCGTGACACGGTGCACTTAAAGCGCCGCCCAGTGAAGGGTGTGGGTACTGCAGCCACTGGCTTCCATCTGACGCACATAGCTGTATATGACCGTGACACAGGTAGAAATTATTTTCTTTGTTTACAATTGTCTAACCAAGAAGGAAAGATTAACTAACGTGCACTAACGTTATATATTACCTCTTCAAATAATATTACATGTCATTTCTAGTTTTCGCAGAAAATCATCTAGATAGTAACCTACACCAGCGGCACGCTTTTTTTAGGTTTAACACTCACTTATTTGGCCTTGAAACTCGGTGAAGAAACGATATGATAGCTGCAAACGCCCATCATGGATCTCCGAAACACAATGTTACCTTTGACCTTTATATCCTAATTTCCTTGCCTCATAATACAATTTTGTCGCAGTATGTCAGTTTATCTGAATCATCCGCACGTGTCAAGGACGACCTTTAGCGATTCATTTTATGTCTGCAGCTGCTAGATGTTGGTCTTCCTGCAATGATGATTTCAGCCGTTTGGTGGCGCTAATTTTTGACCGTGTATTGGGTCATGCTAATGAGATTGTAATGACGGAAAAGCTTGTCCAAATAAGGAATACTAGTCCAAATAAGGGATCCGTATTTATGATTGAAGTGACGTAAGGCTTGTCCAAATAAGGAATACTAGTCCAAATAAGGAATACTAGTCAAAATAAGGGATCCGTATTTATGATTGAAGTGACGTAAGGCTTGTCCAAATAAGGAATACTAGTCCAAATAAGGGATCCACTTTTATGTAAACAAAGGCTTTGGTTTGGGAAGGGATATCATATTTCAATGAAGAGATTCTCAACAGCAGTTTGTATCACATCAACCATAGACTTGCTAGACATGTCTTGGCCGTCAAAAGTAGCTTATTTTGTCAAGAAGATACTGAAAAATGCCCGCATATAATCAGCCAGCACAGTACATTTCTACCTTGTTATTACGTAACTTTTGCCGCTGCTAGATGCAGGTTTTCTGCAATTATGACTTAGCCGTTAGGCGGCGCTATTTTTGGACCGTGTAGGATACTGAAGGATCAATCAAGGACATTATATATGTAACGTTATACTATGTCAAGGATTATAGGCGTAAGGAAAGACAAGGACAAAGGGAGATTTAAGCATATGTTATTTTACTATGAATTTTGGTCACCACGAAAGCACATGGATCATTTCTTTGTTGTCTACATAGTCTTTGTGTATTAAAAACCACAATAAGACACTGGCGCATGGAGCCAGCGAGACTATGGCTATAGTAAACAAGGCTAGAGTCCTGGTACATTCCACAAAGCTTGCACCATTGGTATATAGCACTGTTATGTCAAACACTATTGTTGAAAGGAATGTGAGGCTTTGAGAAAGGTATTCCTTAGGCCAAGAAGTGGCGAATGTCAAACAGAACTTGTTTCTGCTAAATCTGTCTGAAGTTTTGATGTCCACAAATTGTTGAGAAACTCTTTGAAACTTATGCAGAAACTCCTAGAAACATAATAATGCTGGTGTTGACATTGGTTGAGAGAAATAGTATCGGTACAAGCTGAATGGAGGCGTAATAAACTTTTTTGGTCATCTACAAATCTAGGATGTCACCACAGAAAACATACAAAATATGATTATCATTTTCGTCAAAATATTCACACTTTTTTGCCAATTTTTTGTATCCCATTCATCTAGATACCAACATACTGTACAGAGGGGTGAATAAGTGCTTATAGGGGAGAGGATGTGAAATAATTTGTGCAAAAATCTTTTCGTTCTGATTCTGCACATTTGTTCCCTGTTACGGCATACTTTTAGCAAACAATGTCTTTTTTATATAACATCCCCCTAGCCTTAATGTCTTATCCTTAAGGTATGCAAAGTGTCCCCTACCGAGACCTTTACATCTTGGGAAAACACTTTTTTTTCCTTATGAATCACTTAAGACTTTCCATGGCACACTTGAGCTTACCTTGTCAACCTAAGAGTACTTTCCCATAAACACTTCAAGAAATTTTCCTTCTCTACAAAAAGAAAAAAAAAATACTAAAAAGAAAACCCTGTGAGTAATCTGTAGACCCAGTGGCATTTCTAACTATGAACTTTCACAACAGCAAATACACAAAACGTTTGACAGGCAGGTCGACATTACGATATGTACACGTACATGTAACTGACACCTTGCTATATTTAGCAACCATTTTGTATTATCTACACTCTCATAGTGAACAAACGTATAGATCAGAGGAAGGCAACTACTGTTAGAAATCTTGCACTCCAGAAAGGTACATTAATGTCATGGTCTTCAACAACTCAGTTATTACACTTAGTCTACAGTACCTTACAGACAAGAAATGGTTTCTTTACATATGGCACCCTATATGTTTGCAAATGCACACACGCAGTTTCTCATATGTTTAACTGTATCGAGCAATGCCGGCGTTAAAAATCGCTTTATCCTTACAAGAGGGTAAAATGTTTGAGTTCTTCAGTAATCATCTAAAATGTAAACAGTGTTTTCAGTGAAAATGGCCATTACGGGATTTCACTTGATAGAAAATACAAGGCATGGAAACTACAACTACATTGTAGATCTCTGATTGAGTCGGAAATTCTTTTCAAAAACATTACACTGTAAATCACCATTACGGATGGAAGCACATTTCTGTGCCCTGCAAAAACTTTGCTAGAATTTGCAAGTAAACTTCTCTGCAGCATCTAACAGAAGGTAATTAAATATTCTTTGAATTTGTACAAAACAGTCACTGATTCTAAAATGTCCTCAGAAGTGGCATTGAATTTAAAATTTTCTATCAATATTCCTTCTCGGGGCTTTAAAAAGACCCATGGGTTTCGAGTGATAAGTGAATTGTCCCAAAAAAATGTCCGGAATGTCATTCATTAATATGCGCATATCAAGCAGGTACCAGTATCCAATGGGAGCACTCACTGATTATAGCAGGAAGAATTTCAACAGATCATATTTTCTCTACAGTAGCATGTGTTTAACTGACCAGCAGCTTAACTCTAACTGTTCCCAAAGTAAATATGACTTAATCTGCATATTATAACTACATGGTACCATGTGATATAGAAAGAATAGATTAATAAAAACAAAATGAAGTGTGGTCCTTGTTTTTAACTGTGTAACAAAACTAGAATCTACAACAACCATATACAACCTCAACTGTGTACAGAGGGACATAGTCTAAGGGTACCAAGAAAATACGCAGAAATATGAAGGCAAATATTATTAGTGTGGTTTACAGAACAAAGGCACACACGAACCAAAATTATTTCCAAAACACAATTGTATGAATGGTGTGTAAAATGATGCAACTATGCCAACTGCAATGAACTGAAAACTGAACCTGTAACACTTTGCACTAAAACATATCTGTCTCAAGTATAATTGATGTTATACATGTACCGTAAGTTTTGCAGTGTACTCATTTCAATATCATCATTTGCAACCCTTTCAAATGGAAGCATTTGACATTAGGTGTTTGTTTCAACTCTTAACCTGCAAAATATCATAAGTAGCTGTCTTTTTCTTTCCTCGTGAAATGAGAATAATGCATTAATATGTACAGATATGACCATCTGACAAGTACTAGCAGCTAAGTATACTCGCTTATTTACCACATAATGCGGCCGCTGCCTCTAAGTATCTAAACCTACTGGAATGCCAACAAATGAAAAAAATATATGTACAAATTGAATCAACGGAAAGACAGGCAACTACATTAAGAGAATATTTGGTGAAAATTGCCCGTGCATTAAACTAAAGCAATTTTAAAATTGCTCAGGCAAATTTCTGATTGGTGCCACAATTGCAACATTTAGATTTGAGCGGGGCAAGTTGGAAAGTCTCCAAAAGTACCCAATCACATTACCATGGTCATCCAAGTAGAGAAAGCATGTCATAATTTAAACTCATTGCGTTCTGAATTCAAAGAGTGCTTCAAACCTTGATTTGTTCAGAATAAAAGTCCCACTCAGGGTTCACTGATTTTAACATTATAACTTTAGATTCAAATCGCATGGCGAATCCCATAGGAATGATCGGCGACCACCACAATTAGATTAAAATAATACTACACTACCATGACTTTTCATCTTGTAACTTTGAACAAATGTTGCTCAAAAGAAGTGCGAGGAAGTAAAAAAAGTACAATTGTGGCAAGAAACTACCAAGAGATTTGCTACATAATTGGATACGGTTCTTCCATTCTTTCCACAAAAACCTGCTACGTAAGCATGAAACTTGTTACTCCCCGACATCCGGTAGGAAAATTGTGACCGAAAAAATGCATAGATTAAATGTCTTGATTAAAAATATGTACAACTTGAAGAGACTATCTCCGTATGATGTGGGTAGGATTGCCAAAGGAAAGTGTGGAGGGACTGAAGGGTGCAGGGTGTCACTTGTGGTTGAACGGAGACTTGAACTCAGCCAGTGGTTTTACAATTCCCTCTGTGGAAAAAAAACGAGAGAAATACAGTCAAATTTTTCATTCAGATCTAGTTATTGAAATTCTATAGTATGAAATTCTATAGTACGGGTATTTTAAACTTTCATGAGAAATCTAACTTCAAAATTCATGAAAGTATAAAGAACAACTCAGATAAGTTTTTTATCTGACATACAGAAACTGTTATACTGTAAATATTGCACTATCAGCTATCAAAAATGCTTCATCTGATCACAGGGAATGAATGGAAAATCTGCAGTACTGTTGATCATCACTAGATGGTGCTGTTGTAAAGGGTTGTAGTAGCTGAAGTGCTAAACTCACCTTTGTATACTCTCAGGATTGCTTCGCATACAAACTTGTACTGTGCCTGAAAGGTATAAAAAAAGCTCTTTCATTTAAGGCTCACAGGTATCAGTATGCTATGAGATAGGATTGATGCAACTAACTTTAAGGAATGAACAGAAGATTTACTTTGAAAATCCAGTTTTTCTTAAAAGAAGGAAGAAAGCTTCATAAAATGTGTCTTACAGGAGTCTGTATCATCATGGCCCTCTGTTCCCTCATGGTTCTGACGATGTCCAGCGGGTACACCGGCTCGTTACACTCAATCAGACACATGGCTGTCTCCATGGTGATGAGGACGCCCGTCCTGCCGATCCCAGCACTGCGGACAGACGACATGCAACAACGTTTGGTTAAGAACGTCCTTCGGATAGGGTGTTAAATGGAGGTCCCATGTTTGGGGAGCATAACCCCCCACGCATGTTAAAGAGCCCATCATACTTATTGAAAAGAGTAGGGGTCATTTTCAGTGTGAGTGATTAAATCCTTAAAGTCCTATGGCCGCACCCGGGGTCGTATTGTCAACTGAGTTAGCGCCGAATGGTAGCTGCTCCAGACCCTTGCGATTTAGCCCCACCGATTTAAAAGCTCCTCACAATTCAACCCTTAGCTGCAAGGAAGGAGTAACCAGCCCAACGAATAACCCGATATAAGGAGTCTTGTGCAAAACCTTCATGGTAATGTTAAATTGTACTTGTTAAACAACACCTTCTGTTACTTTTATGACAATTGTGCATGATTCTTGATTTATGGCAAATTTTCAATTGGCACTGTCACAAGAATTTGAAGTCATCCACTGAATAAAGTTTGTATGTAACAAGGGAAGGAATCATAGCCTTGAGTCCATGCTTGTTAGGACTGCTTGGGTAGATAAGATTAGCAGGCAAACAGACAAAAGCTAACATTAGGCTGGACTCCAGGCTAAGTGGGATAGCAGATTTTGGGAAGCACACAAAGCTAACAAGGCTGAACTCCGGGCTACAGTACTAAACACAGTTATTACCTGCAGTGCACCATGGTTGGCTCCACCATGCCCACTCTCTGCTGCCTGACCCTGAACACGAAGTCCAGGAACTCTGTAGAGTCATCAGGGACACCGTGGTCTGGCCAGGCCAGGTACTGCATCTGTACAACTCTCCTCTCCTCATCAGTCTGAGATCAACATGGGAAGGACAGGGTATAACATACATGTGTAAGCACTCATGTGCAAACATTTGTTACCCTGCTATAGGTGGCAAGGTGATCTTGTGGTTAGGGTTGTTGACTCAGATTCCCAAGGTTCTGGGTTCAAATCCCTGGCAGGCCCAAGTGTTGCGTCCTTGGGAAAGGCACTTTACACCTATTTCCTCACTTGACTCAGGTGTAAATGAGTATATAGCTTCAGTTATCCTCTCGTGACCACTGTTTGATAATTTTCTCCATTGACACACATTAAGAGTCCTGTCTATACTGACCACCTGTATACATAGACCAGATCTTATCAGTCCCAAGTGATCTTCTTGGGCCATTTTGAAACAGTGCTGCTCGGAAAACTATTACTATTCTGCAATATAAAGGAATTCTTACACTCTGAAGGATACTGCATTAATAAATCCACCTGAAACCACAACTGAGTTTTATAAGGTGTGATACATGTGGAGGTATACAGGTAACTCTGCAGAACAAAAATCTTCCCTGTTTATGAGCAAGGAATCTTACTCACATTCAGGTTGATCATGCTGAAGTCTCTGAAGGCAAATGAGGGTGTGGTCTCCTCAGTAACACAGCAGATCTGCAGCCCGCCAAACTGGATGGTCTGGTGTAAGTCAGGCCAGTACTGGTGGCACTTCACCTGCAGACAGACAGGGGGCGCTTTACACAGGATGTACATGGTTCTCAACTACAAGATTTCAGATGCCAGATTCAGTAATACAGTACAGCCATTCATACATAGGTTTTGTGACGAAAATGATCAGTTTCTAAACTGTACCAATTCTTTTACTCCTAGATAGAAGAGGTGAAAATTCTTATGAAAGTTCATCTGTGTTGGTAGTTATCATTGTAAAATAATAAACTTTATTTACATATAACTAGTTTCAGTCACCATAACTCTCGTGAGATTACATTGTGAAGTGATTGGTTACTAACTATCCTGATGAAGGCGACAGTGGTCGTTGAAAATTTGATCTCTGTGTAATCCTTGACTTGGAATAAAGTTCAACATTTCACTATGAGGTGAAAATTCAGTGACATTTGCAGAGAGGCATTTTTTTTATAGATCTCCTTCTCTCAACCCACGCACACATATAACAGCACAGGCCCACACCGTACACCCTTCCCATTTCCACTTGTGTCGTGCGCTGCAGTTCCCAACACATCTGCCAGGTGGCACTACTACTCACCCTTCCCCTCTCCACTTGTGTTGTGAGCATACAGATGAGCGTACACTGCTGTTCCCAGCACATCTGCCAGAAGTCCCCGCTGGTGTTGGGCAGCGGCCCCTGCGCCGCCACGTACCGGTTCACTATGCCCATCCTGGGGATCTCCATCTGAAAAAACGTGTAAAAAAAACGTCAAATCAAAACATTTCTAGGACCGCTTCATGTAAAAGGTATGAGGCTAACTACATATAGGACTGTACCATTATCTATAATATATGTATCTATCTATTGAAGTTTGAGCATGGTACAACACAATAGGGCTACCTAGGCAGCACACTGTCTTCCTAATGACATGAAGTCATTAGGTAACTGGTCTATGTGACAACTACTAAGTATCTAATATCAGCTGAGTAAAGAACAAGAAACAGTCATATCTTCAAGTACTGGAGTTATCAACCAAGGATTGAGGTGTTTAAAACTTGTATTTTACAAGATCTATTGTAGAGTGGAACTCATTGCCACCAAGTACAGTTGGGGCATCATCACTACAAAGCTTTAAACACCACCTGCAGTTAGATGTGCAAAGATTGGTTGTAACAAGTTGTTTGGTGTAATATAGCTAGCTGCCACCGTGCAATGTGCCTGTGAAGCTGGTGTGTTATAATTACAATGAAGGGCAGTTATACCGGCTATATAGATACAGAAGTTGACATGTTAGACTCACATTTACAGAGTTGGCGTTGATGTAGTCTTGTCCACCCTGCAACATCACTCTTGTCTCATCATCTGTAGATAAAACAAATCATTTAATCTTCAAATATCATTACAATAGCTCCTGTACAGATGAAACACAAAATTTCCAGAGAGACAGGTTACAGTTTTTAACATGAACAGCATACTTACATGGTGAGATGTCTCGATACCTATTTTTACAGATGTTCTCAGGTATTCTGGAGGCGTTACAGGTCATACCAGGCTTCTTCCTAAACAATTGCTGCAGAAACACATCAAGTATATAAATGTATTGAGCTAAAATAAATAACGGTAATGGAGGTTACAGTAATTACAAAACAAATGATAGCGAACACTCCTTTCTTCTTCGTTCGTAGCGATGGGAAGATGACAGACTCGAGACGGAATTCGACCGGTTTCGACTTTAATTCAGTCTTTATCAAGAATTTCTTCTTCGCTTAGAAACCAAGAAAACTTGCAAAAAGTCAACAAAATGACAATTTCTTGTCTTGTATGTGGCTAAACTTCACGATTGTCTTACTTGAGCGGTACTGGAGGTTACAGGACTTGGAGACAGGTATGAACTGCCTTGCACAATATACAGGAATAGTGACAGGGGCGATCTGACTTGATATCTTTCTCAAAGGCCTTGGCTATACGGCTTCAATGGCCAGCAAACTTTCGATTTAATTAGATTGCTATGTTTTAGGCTGCTTTTTACAGTTTTCATGTCTTCTCGAACAACGGCCACTTTTTAGGGGAAGAAATCCAATCCGGCAGCTATAATTTCTTCCAAGTCATCAACCAAACCTAGTGTTGTGGTACATTTTTCATGAAACATAAAATTTGGCTCATATCCTGTCATAAAGAGTGGTGACAGCATGGTGCCTAAAAGTCTGAATGAGTGTCATGTGCCATCACAGTTGAAGCATGTTACATCATGGTTCTTCTACTCACATCGAACTGTAAGAGTGATGCCCCAGTTTTCAGTCCCTCCTCTATGAGGACCATGGATTCCTTCAGAGCGTCATCTGATGTGATGGGAGGGCGAGGGGGGTTCAGGTTGTCTGGCGTGTACATAAAATCTGGCTCCTCTTCTACACCGTCAGGGATGTACACTACAACAGGGGGAGAAACAATATTGTTAGGCCACATCAATTTAATCAATTGTTTTTCAGATTCGCCAGATTTTTTCGATATGCAAAAAAAATATTTCAGGCTCTGAATCAACTCGACAATGCTCATATTTGTGCCCCAACAGTTAAAGTCCCTTCTCAGAGTTGTTACAGTTTTTCCATCTATCAATGCAGTTAGATAGAAAGTTTAAAAATAAATTCATTGTTTGAATTATAAACCAGCCTGGTATGTTGACTTCACGACTCCTATCAGTTCTCTTCTATTGATTCAAAAGCATTAACTTTAATCCTTAGCTCTTATCACATGGGAACGGTTAACATGATCATTTGTGTGGGTAGTGTCAACATCATGCAACAAAACTGTAAGTGACATTTTCTTGGGCCAGTCCATAAAGTGTTAAGTCAACTCTTGATAAAATTGGAAACCCTTTGAAATGTCATCATTACCGAGAAGACTTTATAATGAACATGACTCATTTTCTTACAAGGAAGGAAGAGTTGAAGACAAGTTACTGTTACTGTTGTGAGTCAAAATAAACCTATCCTATGAGCTTTTGTTTTAACGCAGTTGCTCAGGAAATAAAAAAAATGTAAAGAAAAAACAAACAGCTTTCAGAGTCATTCAAGTCTGATGACTACCATGTTTGTTTTCTTACTAACTGTGGACATGACAAAGGAAGTTCTGTAAACCATATGATTCACGAAAATTAACATAGAAACATGGAAGACAATGCCCCATTATGAAGCATTCAAACCCTAGAGCCCAAATTCAAAAGCAGCCAGATCTACATGTAGATAGAAAATGTTGAACTTAATAAGAACACTGCAAAATTGATAAAAGATTTAAAAAAATTATTAATGATAACTGAACATCAAAAGAAGGCCATTAGGTTAAGTGGTGTTTTTTCCAATGTTTTCATATAGAAATATACATAGGGAATAAAAGCTTTGAAAATGTTAACACAAACAACTAAACAACCACCCGCGGATCCAGAGGGGGGCGCACCCGGCGCGCGCCCCCCCGTTCGACCGGGACAAAAAAAAATTTAGACGACTGGCCAAACACAAAATCGCAGAAAAAACATAACACAAAGAATAGAAAGGAAGTCTATGGTTACGACCAGTTCTTCCCGGACACGTATCACGGACTGTAGAAGTACAGAGCTGGGGCGACGGCGCGCCGTGCACGTGTTAAAATCCAGATTTTACACTATGACATTAGCGGGCACGCCCCACCACACCTAGACTCGATTATTGTTTACTTGTTAACACAATACTGTGAATCCCTAGCCTTTGTGGCTCCCATCTATCGTCGATATTGACACGACGTTGCAGTAAAACAAGACTCGGACGCACGGTAAGAAAATGTACTAGGTCACTCACGTCCCGAGCGCAAAGACGCCCGGTGCTCGTAGGTCATGCCGACGGGAAAGTTCGCCAGCCAGCCGATCTCAGGGGAACCATGGCCGAAAATAAATACCCCCGTACGTAAGAGTAAACACAGTTCTAAGAGGGTTGGTAAGATTTAAAATGGTCTGCAAGCCGTGGACGTTCTTGGTCGTCGTAACGTAACATGAATATAACATGGCAGTTTTGCCTCAACTGATGGCCAGTTCTAATGCACTTTCGGCTAGTTAACACAGAAATCTTTAAAAATCATATCCATGCCGTGCCGTTACAAAGGTTCGGTTGACAGAAATCTTTTCATTTCGTATCACAAATCTTTTTAAATCCTAATAAATGCTGCAGGAAAATTATTTTGTAGTGGGACTATACCTGCCAGCGGTACGAAGTGAAAATGCGGGGTAAATGTACGCGGCATGGTTTGCTACAATAACGCTTTGAAATCTTCTGCCGCCCGCCCGGTGGGCGGGGCCCATGCTCGTGCTGCTGAGGGCGTGACGCCGCTCTGTCTGATCAGAACGTGCCGTCGTCTTGGCAACACGTGGGAACGTCCCAGCGACGAGAAGCTTTCCATGCCGGGAAGTGTTGATTTTGTGAC